TAATTTTCCGAATTAACTTGATTGGCAATTAACAATGCAAAATAAACTAAATATGACTTGAAAATCAACCTTTTAATTAGTTTTCCTGCACATTATTCAATCCTTCTAATGAAATAAACCAGTTGTTAGGAACGACGACCACGAGGTAATCCAAAAGATAACTATAGAACCTTTTTTAATGTGAAATTGTTTTATTAACCTGAATATTTAACCTGTTATTCGGACTGACTAATCCCAGTATGAACATCTGTTTTGCAGATAGCCCGGAGTCATAGAATTTGAACCTCCATGGCCACAAGGAGATTTTCATTCTTCCTTGGATTTGAACCTGAGACCTTCTGACACTTTTGACCTTTAGAGCAAAGCTCAAACCAATCAGGCACCACCCTTATGGTTTTATTGTGAAATTGTTGGAAATACAACAAAAATGTCTTCTAACACAATAAACTAATTGGACTTTAGACCACTTATAAAAAAAAAACTGGGGATGAAAATAATTTATGCTTTTTATTTCAAAATTAATTTAGTTAACTAATTAGACATTGAATGAACAACCCAAATTGAACTAAATATTAGTTAAACTTACATGACAAGCATAAATGCTACAACCAATCATTAATGTTTTTGACTTGAAACGTCATTACATTGATATTGACATGATGACATGCCGTTTAGTATTGATCTACTGAGTTCTATAACCAAAGAACTAGTCTGTTCATCGAAGTCACAAATTTATTGAAGAGAAAGGAACGTAATGAAAATCAACTGAATGGAATGTAAACATTGAACTCAAGTAAAAATTAAAAGTTTGTTTTGCACTGATATAACGAAGAAAGATAGTTCATATATATAATCTAAGTAAAATGTCTTGTTTTATCCAATTATGTGAACTAAATAAATCAAGATTACTAATTTCAGTCGCTAATTAAGATTTCTGAAAAGACATTTTAGATTTAGGGGGTGTTTGGGATTTCTTCTAAAAGCTGTTTTTTAATTTATTTCAGTCTGGAACCGGTGATAAGTTGTTTTCTGGTGTTTGGATAAGAAAAAAAAAACTGCTTATATCGGTGTCAAACCGGTAATAACCTGTTTTTGATAAGTTAATCATTCATGACTTATGAAAAAAATGCTTATTACCAGTTTACAATTTTAATCCTATTTTATTTAACTCCGGTTTAATACCACATAAGTTAATAAGCACTTTAAAAAAAAACATAAGTTGGTCATTATCATTTTCAATATATTGCCGTTTCGATTTGTAGGGTTTAGGACACCGAACATGATGGAGAATTTATTTCATTGAAAATTTTCTATCCAATTATGTGAACTAAGTAGTTAAATTTTTTTATCATTGATATTTTTAAAGAGACATCGTGACATATAAGAATTAATGCAATTAGGACCATTTATTTTAAATAATATCATTTTCCATATCTTGTTCTTTTGGTAATTGTGGGGTCATGACATCAGGTTCTTGCTAATTAAGGGTGAGCATAGGCGGGTACCCGTTCTTTTTGACAGGAACCGGAACCGGCGGTTCTTGAGATATTGGAACCGGAACCGGAACCGGTTAGAGCGGTTCTTGAATTTTTGGAACCGGAACCGGAACCGGTTCCCGACGGTTCCTAAAATATTAAAATTTTGTTATTTAGAAATAAAAAATAAAAACATTGTCAAAACACTAAATTAAATAAACAAGAATACAAATTATACGGAATAATGGTTACAAATATTGTTTAACGATTATAAACCATGATAGACTAATAGAAAATGTTCAAAGTTTAACGATTACATACTATAATTGTAAATGTTCAAAACTTAACGATTACATACTATGAAGTGTAGTTTAGTAGAACTAGAAAGTTGATGAAGAATGAAGATGACCACGTCTTTTGAAGATGTAACATAATATACATTTGGTATTAAAAAAATGAATTATTTTTTTATTGAAAAACACTGGGTACCCGCCGGTTCCGGGTACCCGGTCCCGGAACCGGTCCTGACTAGTGTTGCCCTGACTCTAGACTCTACACCCTAAACCATAAATACTGAACCCCAAATTAGAGTCGTATTACAAGTTTTTATATAATATATTTTTTATTAATCTGGATATCTAACTCGTTATGCGAGCCGACTAATCTCAGGGTAATTAATAGTTTTCCTGGTAGCCCGGAGTCACCATATTTGAACCTCCATGATCACAAGAGAATTTTTATTCCTTATTGTATTTGAACCTAAGACCTTCAGACACTTTTTGACCTTTGGAGTCCAAACTCAAACCAATCAAACATCACATTTGTGGTTTATAATATTTTTGAAATCGAGTGTATATCAAAATTACTATTCTGAATTTAGTTTATATAAATCATGTCAGTTTCGAGCCAATTTAATTAATAGGGTATAAAATATATTAGATATATAATGAAAATTATTGATAACTTAACAACCACACATTTAATATCTACTATATAACATAAGATTTAGTTATATCTTGTAAATAAATTAATACAAAAAAGACAGAAAAATAGACTCAACACTTTCATAACACCAAATAACTTAAAAATAAATATAAATATATAACTTAGATCATTATTTTAGCCAAAGAAATATAGTAAGAAAAAGTGTAAGAATAGCTGGAAACGACTGTTAATACTCTGTAGACTGAGAAGCAAAAGGAGAAATCCGTCTAAGAAGGAGCTCGCGTCTGATTAGCTGGTTGATTAGTCAAGGTTAAAGAAAATGCTAAACTTTCGGCTTGCTATAAAGCTAACAGCTGACGCTATTGGGAAATCTATACATTATATTATGTGTTTTAGAGGAAGGTTAGAGGTGCAATGGATTAAAATTTGTGCATCTCTTTAACAAAATACACTCTTAGTAATTGGTTTACTAATACAAAGTTTTAATCTTTCAAAACATCATCGACTAAAAGAGATTAGTGGAAGTTTTGTAAGGTCATCACTTCTTCCGTGATTCGTTAGGGTAGTTTAGTTAACTTATTTGTAGGTTGGGAAAGTTTGAAGTACAATTGAAACATCTTTAGAGTTCTAATTTCGCATGGGAACTTGAAGATGAAAAAAGAATATACCCACAATTGTTTGTCCATGCTTAGATTTTAGGGGCAAAATCTCCTTTAAGAGAGTGGAAAATTGTAACATCCCATTTTGAGGGATTATTTTAAAAATATGTATATATTAATGTTTGGGGTTAGACATTAATATATATATATATAGGGGCCTAATCAAATGAGAACTGATTAGTTTGTGGTAACTGTAAGAACCAATGTGAGCCAATCATTTAAATAATTAATGTTATATCCTAAAATAACATAAAAGGTAAATTGGTAATGTTTATAAATCATAAAACCCTAACCCTCTTGTTCTTCCTTCTTTCATCGA